AGCCTTTCCCTTCAAGCCCCATGCCCCGAGCCACGGCTGTGACAGGTTTGTAAAGCTGAGCCCTGCCCTATGGACTGACCCTGGAATCCCCCCGCATGCCCAACTGACGTTCAGCTTCAGGGGTGGAGACTCTGACCCACCAGCCGGTTCTCCTTCCTAGAAAGGAAGGCTACTGAGGCGGCAATGAGGATCTGAAACAGCCACGGAAGCCTGACAGGGGCTAAGGGCAAAGCGGGATGGAACATCTGGGGTCACTGAGCTGCCCCCTTGGCCTCTCCCTCACTTATATATATGGCCACAATGGAGAAGTGACATGGGGAGAGCTGTGGATCCACAAAACTACCCCGGGGGGTTCTCACCCCTCATGGAAATGGCATTTCCTCTTCAGCCCAAACTCTGCCCTGTGACCTCAGCCCAGGGAGAACTGGGGCTGAGGGAGCCTCGGATGGCAGAGGAGGATAGTGAGGACACAGCACGTGCGTGGCTGGGTCCCAGGCTCGGGGCTACCACTGACCATCTGCACGACTGGACCTCTCTCCTGGAGCAGCCCTTCTCTGGACCTCAGTTTCCTACCTGTACAAGAAGGAAGTTGAACCAGGTGACCCCCAGAGGCCTTTTCATCTCTGACCTTCAAGGACTGACTCCCTGGCCCTGCTGCCCCCACCTCCCAAGGGACGATCATTCCCATCACAGGGCGGAGAAGATGGTACCTCTGGCAGATGAAAGGTTTCGGGCACCTGAGACATCAAATAGCCCTGATCTGAAGCGAGGAGAAGAGAAGGTATTAATGCAGCTAAAGCAATATACTTTGATTTTCAGCCTCCTGCGCTAGGCTGGGGGCAAGGTGCCCCAGAAAGCATCTGGAAGGGGGTGGTCCCTGGGGGTTCAGGAAGCCCTTTTGCCTGAAGCTCTGGGTCTGAAGTCTTGGGAGGGTCTTATGGTGGCTCCTACACTGGAAGCAACAAGTGTGTAAATTCCACACCCTCTCCCACCCAGACTCTGCATCGATTCTCTCACCTCTGGACCACATCATTCGTCCATGTACCATTGGGCCAAAGCTCTTCTTCCTCTTGAAATCAGAGCATAAGAGATTTGAAAAATTGGCATTGGAAGGGGCCTAAAGGCTCACAGCATCCACACATACACACCCCAACAGGCAAATTTTCCTACCCTCCTTCCTCTGTACCCCAGGAAAATGGGCACATGGGCTCTGCAGGAACATGTCCTCGGAGCTCCCCAAGAAACTGAGTGCATTAACGAATGGGCTGTTCTAACTGTAGAAAGTTTCTCCTCTTTATTGCAGGTTACAGTTTTCCATTAGCGATCATCGATCCTGACCTCTTTCTGTAACCGGTAAAGAAAGGGTAAGAAAAAATCCTTTCATTGTGAAGTTAAATATGCATGATGCCTGAGTACACAACAGGGCTTGTGTGGCTGCCAATCTGGGCTGGCGGGGCTTGGAATCCTGGAATTGTTTTAGGCCTGGAAGGAGCTCAGAGATCATCTTGTTCAACCTCCTGGTCTTACTGATGGGAAAACTGAGGCCCAGAGAAGGACTGACTCAGCCAGTCACAACAGGATGGGTTCCAGGATCTGACGACCACCTCTGGAACTCTGAGGGGATCCCACAGCTGAGGCACATTCTCAGAGTTAATGCTGGATGCCCAGAGGTGGCCCTTGCCCTACCCAGCCTCTTGTCTAGGGCTCTGGAGTCACAAACACCCGGATGCAAACCCCAGCTCTACCACTTCCTAGCTGTGGGACCTTGGGCGACTGACTTAACCTCTCTGGGCATCTCCTCATCTGTAAAACAGAAAGAGTTTATATCTGCTCTTGGAGGTTGCTGTGATGATTATATTAGTTTGACAAATATTTATTAAGCACTTTCTGAGTGCCAGGCCTATTCAAAGCCCCAAGGAACACAGCAGTGAACCTCACAGTAATGGAATGGGAGGCACAACGAAAGCACTCAGGGATGGCTGGCCCCTGTCATCTCACCCTGCCCACACTGCTTCCCAGCTGAGGGGCTATGAACTCTGCCTTGGGGAGGCCCCCAGGAAGGCCTATGGAAAACAATGGAGGAAGATCTCCCGGCATTCCGAGGGCCCACTGCCTACAGGGTTCTGAAACATGTACAAGGAAGTAAGGTGGGCACCGAGGGCATTTCAGGGCAGTCTAGGGACCCTCTCCTTTCTTCCTCCCTCCCCACCACACTCAGCAGCCCATCCTGAGCTAAACACCAAGTCCCCTCCTCCGGGCCAGAAGGCAGCTGGTCTCAGAGCCAGACCGTGCCTGGAAGGTGGAAGTGGGACTTTAGAATACCCGTGGTGTCCCAGTCCCTTCGGTGGGCATAGCCCTTTGTGGATCCCAGACTAATTTCACTGCTGAGTCCTGTGCGGGAGGAAGGGAGTACAGTCCGCTCCTAGCCAATGACCACGAGGTCCAGCCCTGAGAGAGCCCAGCAGGAACTGCCAAGCACCCTACCTATGTTATACTCACAGAGCCTACATGCCTCCCGAAGCTGCTCCGAGACTGATGCCAAGAGTGACAGAGCACCAGCCCAGGGTCACACAGCCAGCCAGGAGCCAAATAGGGGTTAATGCACAGTCCTCTGATGCCCAAACCTGATGTGGTTTACCCATGGTACCCACTGCCTTCCAAATGTGGATGCTGCCCAGAAAAAGGATATGAGGACCCGAGGTTGGCCACACAGTGGACTTGAGTTGAGCCAGGGCAAACGCCCGGTCTCGACTGAATCCACGGTGTTTTCCGCTGTCCCACATCTGTGGGCAATTACAAGCCTCAGTTTTTCTTCCCACACAGGAGGGAGGGCTGCCTGATCACCACTGAAGGGAAGGTGCTGGCCAGATGGCCTCCTTCCTCACTCAGGACCAGGCTAGGCTCCGGGGGGACCTGGGAGCAGGTGGGACGTGACGCTGAACTTACTGCTGCGGAAGGGGCTGGAGCCAGCAACAGCCTCTGGGGGAGGATGCAGACTCTCTCCTTTCTGACCCGGGGCTCCCTGGGTAGCAAGGGGTTATTAAGTCTTTGGTTTCAAGCAGACCTGGGCCTAAGGACCAACTCTAACTGTGTGACACTGGGAAAGTCGCATAGCCTCTCTGAGTCTTGGTTTTTCCTTGTCTTCAAAACAGGGGTAACAACAATACGGATTCCCAAGAGCTGCCGTGGGGATTACAAGGTGCGTGGGGTCCCGGGCTCTGCACCTGGCACAGGGCAAACACTCCGCGGTAGTGACCAACGTGGCCCTCCATCCCCGAGCCCTGTGGACCCAGAGCCTCTTGCTCGGAGGCAGGGGAGGACTGCCTGCCTTCAGATATCTGGCGAGAGGCCTCTGTAGAGCACTCTGGGATTGCAGAGACAGGCAGGGACACTCCTCCCTGTTTGACATAGAAAAATGCAGTCTGGAGGAACAGCGTGATGTTCTGGAAGGGCACCTGAGGGAAGGGAGAGGCCTGTTCACATTTGGGAACAGAAAGTCTTCAGTGAGCCCCTCCTACCTTTCACCAGCACATTTGCTCAGTTTCACTGCGCCCCTGCGCATGCTGGGGACAGAAGACAAGATGGGGGAACCTGGGGCCCAAATGATCTCTGATTGTGCACACAGAGCACAAAGAGGAAGAGAAGCCCAAGCAACCAGGCAAAGGGCATTGCAAGCACTTGGAATACTGGAAGAACCCCGGAAGGCTGCCTGGTGGAGGTGAAGTCGGGAAGGTCCTTGAAGGAAAATGGAGGCAATGAGGAAGGACGTTCTCACAGGCAGCATTGTGCATACTCCTCCTGGGTGCCCTGGGACCTGACCGGCAGGAACACAAGGCCCAAGTCTGGAGAAACGAGGCAGGGAGCTTATCATCTCCCAAAATGGGGCAGGGAGCTTATTATCTCCCCGAGCTCTGCAACTTAACTAGCACTGTGAAGCAGTTTTGTAGCTGCGGTGAACCTCACGTGTAAAACCGACATAAAATCTGTCCCTGCCTTGGAGCTGCTGGTGAGTTAGTTACGTGAGATCAGGCCCATAAAGCACTCCGCACGGTCCTGACATGCAGTAAGTGTCAATCAGTGGCAGGCTACTATTAGGAGTTGGGGCTTTCTATAGGGGAGAATCAAAGAAGGAATCGTGATCAGATTCATGTTTTAGGATGGAGTGAAAGCAGCGTCCGGAAGGAGGGAGGCAGCAAGGCAGCCTGAGCAGCTGCCTGGGTCCAGAGGGAACGGCCCAGGCAACCGACTCTCCCTTCTTCACAGAGGGGCCCCCCACATCTGACGGCCGGTCCCAGGCCCCCAGCCCCACAGCCCCAGCTGCGTGACCATGATCGCTGTGCTAGGCCTGCCACAGCCCCCTTGCCTTCGCGCTTTCCCAGCCACTGGGGGTTTGGAAGGACATCTTAGGAATCTGGAAAATTTGCAAATCCATTTAAATCCCCAGAGGTTGCCTGGCGGCCGACTGGCCTAGAGCCAGACAGATTCTTAAGGATAAGGCTTGAGCCCAGAGACAGGGGCCATGGTTCTGAGGTCCCCTATCCCCTGCTAGATCCCCTTTCCATGGACCCTCCTTGCTGCCTCCCAAATCCCCTCTCAAGCTTCTTCCAGCTCTCCCCGGCCCCCTCAGGCGGTGCTATGTTTTAGAGGCCCTCAGTCTGCACCCCAAAATTTCTGAGGTTCATTTGATGAAAGCAGGGGGCAGCAGGGCTGTGGAGACCGGGGCCACCCACCCTAGAAGCAGCCTGAGCAGGAGAGGAGAGAACTGGCTCCTCCAGCCCTGATGTCGCCCACAGCCTCCCAGCCTCCTCCCATCTGGTTTTGTTAAAAGTATTTTTCATTTTTTGACCTACCCAAGAAGGCACAGACTGGAGCAAGGGGACAGGACAAGGGGCTGGGGATCCCCCTTCTCCCAGCACTTACCTTGATGCTGGTGCCTTAGGGTGTGGGCACAGTTCTGAGCTCTGAGCTCTCACCCCCTCCAGGAAGTCCTCCTCACTGACCTCTCATTAACAAGAAGACTTTGCTGGACCCCAAATGGGGCAGCGGCTGGGCAGAAGGGCAGGGAGGACAGCTGCCGTCTCCAGGAGCCTCGGGAGAATGGAGGGAGTGGGGGACTGCAGGGGTGAGGAGTGGCCTCACTCCCAAAGCATCCTTCTGGAGGAGCCGGGCTGCCAGGAGGGGCCGCCCTGGGTCTGGCCGGCTGTGGTGCCGGGCACAGGCTGCTGCCCGGCGCCGCTGGTCAGAGGGGCCGGTTCTCTCCTTGCTGTCCTCCTCCTCTCTGCCTCCAACTTGTTCCCAGAGGGATCCTGGGTCCCAGACGGGATGGGCAGGGACTGCGGGCGCTGGCAGCCCCACGAGCTCACACCACTGTGGGCTTCCCTGCCCCCCCCCCCACTTTGGGGGAAAGGCTGCAGGGCCGCCTCTGATTGGCTCAGCCAGGAGAAGGGGGGCGAGGGGGCGGGGAAGGTGGACGCGTGTGTCTGTTTTCAATTTCAGTTTCTTCCCCCCTCTCTTTCTTTTCCCCCAAGTTTCTTGTTTTTCTTCCTTTTTTCCCCTCTGCTTGCTCCCTCCGTCGCCTGCTCTCTCAGGATGTGAGGGGATATTTAGAAATTCCGCAGCCCACGCCAACCGCTGAGTCACTTTTATTAAAAAGTGGCCTGACCCCACCTCCCTGATGCCTTGCCGTGGCACCTGGGACGGACTCCCTTCTCCGTGCCTCAGTTTCCCCATCTATAAAGGCAGCTCTGATCACCAATGTGATTGATTCAGTCAACAGCCATTTATTGAACAAGCATGTTGAGCACCTACTATGTGCTAGTCACTGTGCGGGGTGTTGGGATGCGGTAGTGAGTAAGACACAGTCCCTGACTCCAGGGCTGCCCAGGCTAGTGGGAGGGACAACGATGCACAGGCAGGTCCCCCAAAGAAGGGCAGGGGTGCTGAGAATGCCTTTAACTGACACTTTTTGGTATCAAGTCACTTTTCAGAAGAAGAAACCCAAGGCGCGGGCGTGGGTTGGCGCAGAGAGAGGAGACCTGCCCGATGTCACCCAGTGTACTTCAGATTTCCAAACATATTCCTTCCTATCATCTCACAGCCCTTCGAGTATCAGGAAAGGATTATTTCCCCATTTTATAGACAATGAAACAGAAGCCCAGAGGAGTGAACTGAGCCTCCCAAGCTCACACGGCAAGGGCAGAACTGGCGTGGATGGGGTCTCCTGAGTTACATGATGGAGCAGACACAGGTGATCTGACCCCAGCGGGAGCCCCACATTGCAGAGCAGACTGGGCCTCCTGTCCTGCCTTCTTCCTTCTTCCTGCTAATGTTCCATTGCCAGCCTCTTGCCCTCCCTTCCCTACTAGGGTCTGCCAAGGCTCCTCCAAAACCTGGTTGGACCTCTCGTGCCCTCCACTTAGTCCGCCCTCATTTCCTCAGACCAGAAGACGCCTCTAGTCACAGACTCTTGGCCCTTAGATGCCCAAGGCCATCATTTTAAAAGGGTTTAGAGAGTTGAGGTGAGTCACCCTCTGCCCTGACACTGTATGCACATGGAAACTTGAGTCCCAGAGAGGGAAAGAAAGGTGTCCCAGGTCACACAGGTAGACCCTGACTCTGCCCAGGGCTCCTTCTGCCTTACCTGCTGCACCTCTGTCTACCCCCTTCTTCTCCTGGGCCTCACCTTGGGGCCCTGTTCACATGGCAGCAGTGTTGGCCTGAGCTGGGATTTTATGCCAACCACAATAGCATATCTTGAGGTCATTTCTTGGTCTTATCTGAGTGGGGATTTCTCAGCAGAGCATCTGGGCTGGGCCACACAGAAGGAAGAGTCCTCGGACTGGCCCTAAGCCATGGCGTGCAGGCTTTTTGATTATCAGTCAATTATCAGAGAGGGGTCCCAGCCCAGTGTGGTAGCAGTGGAATCATAGGGGATTACAGGGGGACTCCAAAGACCACAGGGTCAAGCCTACACTGGAATTTCTTATGCCTGAAGGCTCCATGAGTCTTTGCAACTCCTAGCATTTGTCTTGGCTATTCACCTCCAAAGCCTTGACCCAACTGCTAGGACCAGAACAGTTCCAGGGGTGGTGGGGGGTGGGGGATCAAGGAGGCATTTCAACCTCTAACCGCCCCCCCCCAAACAAATCTGGGAGCGAGGAGACCCAGCTGTGGAGTTGCTGTGTTGTCTTGGATAGATACCTTCGCCTCTCTGAGCCTCAGTTTCCCATCTGTACATAACAGGGTTGAACTCACTGTGCTGGAAGGCCCTTGGGATGCTCTGTTTACAAGTGTCTTAGAATTGGGCTCTGGTTAGGGAGAGGAGGCTAGCGGGCCCCAGGGCAAGGGGACAGCTGGGGGCCAGAGATGCAGCACAAAGGGGAGGGGGCGGCTGGTGGTGGCTCCCCCGGGAAGCTGGCGGCGGCTGGTTTCCGGCCAGCCCAGCCGAGCGGCTGGCCCATCTGGAATCACTTAGCCCCTACCACCATTAACCCTTGGCAGGCACCAGGACTATGCTATGCCTCCTCTCAGCTGAGATGGGGCTGGGGGACGCAGAGCCACATGGAACACCACAGGGCACGCACCAAGAGCTGGACAGAAGAGGCAGAGGAGTCATGATGGACAGGGCAGATTCCAGAGCCAGAGACAGAGCTGGGTTCGAATCCAGATTCTGCAATGCCAAGCTGCAAGATCTTGGGCAAGTCATTGAAACTCCTGAGCCTCAATTTCTTCCTCTGGCAAATGGAGCTAATTTGAGGAATGATTTGAAAGACCATTGCAATTTGTAATGCACCTAGAGGACTCAGTACAGTGTCTGCAGGTATTATTGAAATATGGAGTTGCCCTCATTCCAGCTGCAGCCCATCGTTGTGTGCCTCTGAGCTGAGCTCTTCCTTCTCTGGGCCTCAGTTTCCCCTGTGCACAGAGGGCAGTACCCACGAGCAGTGTAGTACTGTCAAGCTGGGGGGGATCATCACGGCCCCCAGCCCCACCATGGACAGGGCAGGCCATGAATAGCCTCCCAGTTGCCCAGATGCTGGCAGCCCGGTCCAGCCTGGGACAACGCTGACTTGGAAAAGCTGGGCTGACAGTGGGTGGACAGAGCATCCTGCCTCAGGTGGAGTGAGTGGGGTCCAGAGGGAGAAGGGAGCTCTGGGCCTGGGGGTTCAGCGCCCCTTCTCCCCACTGCACAGAGGCCCACTCAAGGATCAAGAGCCTGAGCTCTGACATTGGAAGTTCCAGCCCAGCTCTATCACTTCCTAGCTGTGTGGCCTGAACAAATTACACTACCTGAGCTCTCTGAGCCTCAGTGTTTGCAGCTGCAAAGTGGGGATCCATGTGCCTACCTCACAGAGTTGTTGAGAGGCCCACATAAGTGATGCACCCAGCGTTTTAGGCAAGGACTAGAGCAGAGCGAGGAGCCCCAGCAAAGGTAACAATTCTTAGGCGCCTCCGGGAGCCTCTGTCACAGAAGTCCACCATCAGGGCTGCAGGGAAGCCAATCCAAATGCTCGTTTTATGGATCAGATGACGGAAGCCCATGCTGGAAAGTGACTGAGCAAGGCTTCGCAATGTATAAGGCCAGGACGGGAATGGAGGCTTTTTGTCTACACTCAGGCCCAAGAGGGAATCAGGCTGAACTGAACCCGCCCCCCCCAGACCCCCACCCACGCTTGTCAGAGCCGGAAGCCGCAGCTCTCAGTGGGGCAGGGGGAGGGGGGCCCGGAAAGGGCGCCTGAGTGGGAGAATTCCCAGTAGGCCAGCTCAGCACTCAGGCAGGGCCAGCAGCCACCACATCTGGCTCTCCCACGCTCCCAGCGCTGCCCCCCTCCCAGGCTCCCCAGGCCTGGGGCAAGGAAGCAGCACACATGTCCCAGGCATCAGCACCATCATCTTGGAAGTCAGGGCCTGAAGAGTCCTAAGAGTGCGCCCACAGGGCAGGCATGGAAACTGAGGCCCAGAGAGTGGAGAAGACTTGTCCAAAGTTAGCAGAGAGAGAAAAGTCCTGGGATGCAAGGCTCTTGACCTCTAGCGCAGTGTCCTTCCACCCTGCACACCCTGAGCAGGTGGATCCTTGTGCCTGCAGCTGACCTCTAGCAGTGACCTCTAGCGCAGTG